CTCCCTAAAACTCTATACCTGACTTCTGCATTACCCACGTGGTGAAACCACGACACACGGCCTATACTACGAAGGCAACGGTGGTCAAACACTGGAAGCCATCTCATGTCTTCCACCTTCAATGGTCATGTTTCACAACCATACAGGAGAACAGACTGGACTACTGTGCAGTACACGCGACCCTTAATAGACAAACGGATATCACAGCGGCGCCATAGGTGGCGTAAATTGGCAAAAGCCAATCGAGCCTTCTGTATCCGTGCACCGATTTCACCGGCCACCGAGCCACCGGGATGGGGTGGATCCTACTTCTCAGGTAAGTGAAGTGGTCGACACACTCAACCACTTCACTCTCTATCGTTAGTCGCAGTGAGGCACTGTTGAAGACCAATCGTGGAGCAACAATTTGCATTTGGGTAGTGACAACCACATCCCAGACATTCTCAAATTCCCACTCAAATTGTTCAGAAATAACTCTGCATCTTGTCAACATCTTCACCTAACAGGACTATATCATCTGCATATTCTAGATCTAAAGAAAATTCTCCTGTGATTAGGTCAACGAGAAAAGAAAAACAATTATTCTCTTAAATAGCATTTAAACATTGTTTTAGGCAACTGGGTTCAATTTATGGTTAAAATATTATGATAACAAAATTCCATTTATCAGCAATATATTCATCTCTCAACCATGTTGAACAAACTAATTTATTGTGTTATAATTTTTAAATAAGTTTCTCAATAACTTATAGAAATACAATAAGTGTTTATAAAACAGATGATATTTTGATATTTGTACACTGAATTCAATTAATTAAAAAAATTTCTTTTTTCTATCAGTATAACAACTAAATAACAAATTAAATTCTCTTAAATAGTAAAAATATTTTTACTACGTGTTCACCAATAGTTTGTATAAATACAGACTACCAAAAGTTAACTTTTGTCATATGAATAAAATGTCATCGCCAATATTATCAGTACTGGTTTTCTTCATTATATTTTATGAATGTAAGTTTACAAGCTGTTTGTATTTGTAACGCAAACATTTTACATTTTAACATTTCTTTATCTGTATATCTTTGTGTGATAAATGTGCTTAAAAATTCATTGGGATACAATTTTAAAAGATTATTTCTTGTCTCTTTTGACAAATTCCTAATAGCATTTTGTTTATTATCAATGAAACTCGTATAAAATCAAGGAGACTATTCTATATTCAGTTAGTTCTATTCTTCTTTTAATTGAGATAATGAGACTATTCATCTATGAGTAATGAGGACTTTACTGTAATTGATAAACTCCGAATTTCTAACATTTCTAACATAAGACTAAGAAGACTATATATTTGTTAATGTAGATATATACAAAACACAACGAAAATGTCGCTGTAGCATTCTAACATTTATATGATAAAAAAGGTATTTCCAGTTGGAAGGATTCGGTAATTAACGAACATCAGATGCACAGCAGCACACCTCGATACTGATTAATTTACTCATAGAACTTATAGTTTAGAAAAGATTCTACACCTTAAGGTATATAAATGGTTTACCCTTGGAATGCATTTACATAATACCAAACGGTGATTTCCTATCTAGACAGCATCGTCTCAACTACAGGCGGCGACACACATGACGACGTCAATGCCATCATCGGAAAGACAGTAAGACACGCCTTCCTTCATTAATCTGAAATCAGTGTGAAGATCTACTGCACTACACTACACTACACTCAGCATAAAGCGTCAACAACAACCGGATTTTCAACACTAATTCAGTCAAGTCAATGTTTCTATGTGATGGTTGAGAGAGTTGGAGTGTCACAAAAAAGCATTTCCAACAAACAACTGCAGACATGTGTCATCAACAGCTGCCGCCTACGCTCGCTCACTCACTCACTCGATACTGACACTGAAGATCAGATAGATGACCAGAATAATGAGAATAAGCAAGGAGGAACTCTGGCTGGCTGGCTGGCTGGCTGGCTGGCTGGTTGGTTGGCTGACGACGAACCAACCGTGAACCCATCATACAACAAATATGCAGTATTCCAAGTTGTTATTCATCGTAGACTGACATCAGTTGGAGGAACAAAGGGAACGTGTAAGCACTGGACGGCTGTTTCGTCCTAGTATGCAGCAGGAGAAGGTGGAGATGGATTGGACTTGACTTGACTTGACTGGACTTGACTGGACTGGACTTGACTGGACTGGTCTGGACTGGTCATACACTGCGTAGACCATTTTGGGACATCACGTGCCAGTCCGGATCAGGTCGTCGAGTGGAAGCCAAGTGGGAAACGACGAGTGCGAGGCAATGGTGACATGGAGGAGATGGTGTGAGGAGGGAGTGAGAGGTGATGGTCAATGGTGGATCCAGGTTGAGGAGAGTGAAATAATGACGTGGTACTCAAACCCTATTTTCCACTAGGAACACAAGTGATAAATAATAGTAATGAAATAATGATAATTTACAACATATTTACAATGCATTTCAAAGTTATTAACGCTAAATAAACTTTGCGTGTTCACTTGTTGACTGTCTATCCTAAAATCAATATGGTCGTCGACTGCTTTCGAAACAATTTTCATAGAAGAATCGGTTAGTTTAAATCACTGAACATAATCTATTCAAGACTGAAAACACGATATGTGTGTTGGATTTTGTAAACTTCTGTCAGGCAGTGTTCACTTCAGTTACACTCTCACTGTTTTCACTTAAACTGCTTTGTGAGTGACTGAGGTGAATTCTACTGCAAGTTATCACATATGCGAACAGAATGAATTCGACTGACACACATAAGGACGATCATATCAATGAAGTCACGTCAAACAGAAGTGTGTTACAGTTCTAAAAATGAGTGTGAAGTGGAGACTGAGACATGAAACTGCATATTCAATTTATGCTCTTGATCATAAAATAACTGTTCATGAACAGATGAAATCAGATTAAATTGTTTTTGTTAAGAATCCCGAGAAATGGCAAAATGATGGATATGCTGATAGTTGAAAAGATCAGTAAAAAGATGAGATTCAGACTAATAAAGGAAGTGAATTTGAAGAGAAATGTTCAGTGATGAGGAAGTGATATTGAATAAAGTGAACACAGGTAGAGGATGAAAATCGTCATGGTTTATCACCGAATTGTCAAGATGAAGCATCAAATCTTACTGGTTAATAACCATTTCACTGTTTTGTTCAGAGTTTTTACTGAAAAGCATTTGACGTATATAAAATTAATTTTATCATCTGAAGGAGAATTCGAGGACTCTAAAATGGAAGGAACAATGGAAGGAAGTATAAGAAAATAATGAAGAAGATAAAAACATGAATTATTTAACGAAGATTGACTGAGAGGGAGAGAAATGGAAAGTCGTTCTCGAAGATGCCGCTATGTTTAGTAACTGTCATCTATACATAAGTTCAGATAACAAAGATAAATTGAAGACATAATTCTCAAGATATTTGTTGAGGGAAATTTTCGAATAATTATCCGTCTTTAACCTGTGATAATTGCAAATATTCTCTTCAAGATTGCATGATAATGTGCAATGGGGCAAGTGAAATTATGTAGTCGAATAAAGAATCAGGAGATAATCCTTACAAGAGATGATTCTGGACAAATTTCATCATGTACTTCACATGAATTAATGTAAATATGAATAAATTCAAAATATTTTTTGCCTAATACAAATTTAAAGCAAGTAACGGATGTGAAAAAAGGCAGGATTTAATAAATTCATGAAATTCACTAAATCCTACCTTCACTGTTGTTCCTTGTATTATACCACTGTTCATCGGACCAAATTGATCTGTGTCTATTGGCATATGGGTTCGTGTGTGGATGCCTCGATATGCCTGTGTAGTTCTAGTTCTAGTAAAGATGGATTGGATAGTGGCTAGCAGTGGAATCTAGGATGCACATTTCGTCGTATCTTTGACTCGTCAGCTAAATGTACCTGCCTCCCAGTGAGTGATGTTGTTCCCATCGGGATTCGGACTCGGGAACGATCGCTTCAAACGCCAAAGCGCTGTAAAGCCTGTGCACTGTGTTAGGATGTAATTAACTCCATTTTAATTGATTTATGAGATTTATCACAGAGTGTAACAATATCGTCTACTGCATTTCGTTTTGGACACAATTTATCGCCCATAGTTACATCAAGATAACTACACAACTCCGAAATATCCTTTATATAATTCTAGCTCTCTCGCCTTCCTTGTGATGTGTTTGATAGAATTTTCCAATATATCCGGAACAGATGCTGAGTCATTCCTGTTGCATGAGTTTGGTGTTGATTCGATAAATGAAGATTGTTGTCAATCTCTTCCTCCACCCTGTTATGTTAATTTTAATGATTTTTATCCTGTCCCATCCTGCTGCGTGGTTGTATGTAATTGCATGCATTGCTATGGCTGAGGTTTTAGCGTATAAATGTAGATTTCACCCACTTTGACAATGTGTACCTTTAGGTGGAAAAAAGCGGAATTTTATTTTTTATTTGAATATCACTTTGGAGAGTGAACTTCATGACTTAGATTGTGGAAGTCGATTGAAGATGGAATGGAAACCTGGTCACGGTAAGATCCAGACCTTCAACATTCATGTTATCGACTAGTCCTCTACCAGCTGGGCCTTGATACTCATTTACTGATTAGTTGTTTACTTTTTTTGATCCTCGATGATTTTATCTGGTTGCCATGTAAGTTTTTGATATGCAGCTGACTGTTCATAGGTTTTCTCCTTTTAATTCAACTCAAGCTGAGCTTCTCAGTAGAAACATTATGGCTGTTTACCAACCAGACTATCGGAGACAGCTGTAGTTTTGACGAACTGGTATTATTAACACTGGGTAATGACTGAAAGCGAAATTCAAACCCAAGTTGAGCCAGGTTTCTAACCAAAGGTCTCTAAGTTACCGACTAGTCGCTACGACACCCAAATGAGTTACGTCTTTCAATTTCACTGTTTCATTACATTTTGTTTAAAGAACGATTTCCATCACCTATTTTCTGACCTATTGTTTGATCATATATTTATGATATCCATACAAGATACGTAAAACTTGTGGTGAATTTATTCCTACAATGAATTTAAACAGTCTAATACCTTTACGAGTGATAATTATTATTATTATTAGTCCCTTGGGTTCCTAGTGGAACATAGGGCTTCAGTAGCACGCCTCCAGTGACCTCTGTTCTCTGAGATCTTTTGAACCTGGTTCCACGACAGCCCAGAAGCTCTCATTTCCTCCTCGCATGACCTCCTCCATGTCACCCTCGGACGTCCAACTCGTCGCTTCCCATGGGGATTCCACTCGAGGGCCTGACGCGTGATGTCCTCAGTCGGCCTTCTCAGTGCATGGCCAATCCATCTCCACTTCTTCCTGCATATTTGTTGCGTGATAGGTTCTTGGTTGGTTCGTTCCCAGAGTTCCTTGTTGCTTATTTTTTCTGGCCATCTGATCTTCAGCAGCGAGCGTAAGCAGTTGTTGATGAATGTCTGTAGTTTATTGGAAATGCCTTTCGTGACGCGCCAAGTCTCTGAGCCATACAAGAGCACTGACTTGACGTTGGTGTTGAAAATCCGTATCTTGTTCCACATGCTGAGTGCAGAAGATCTCCACACTGGTTTCAGGCTAATGAACGCCTGTCTTGCTTTTCCGATTCTGACTTTGACGTCCTCGTCCGTCCCGCCTGTAGTTGAAACAGTGCTTCCTAGATAAGTGAAGGAGGTTACTTCCTTCAAGTTTCTCCCGTTGACGGTGATTGGAGTTTGTTGTTGTTGTTGTTGATGGTGGTGGTGCGGTATCTTCATCACTTCTGTCTTCTCTATATTCACCTGAAGTCCCGTCTTAGCTGCCTCTTCTGTCAACTTGTTAGTTTTTGCCTGCAGATCTTCAAGTTTATGTGACATTAGGCATAAGTCATCGGCGAAATCCAAGTCTTCTAGGTTCTTTTCCGTCGTCCAGTGTATCCCCCTCTTCTCGCTGCCTACTGTTTGCTGCAT